GTGTGTGTGTGTATCACATCTTCTTTATCCATTCATCCGTGGATGATCATTTGGGCTCTTTCCATCCGAGCTTATATTAAGTGAAGCACTGAGCACAGTGCTACTGTTAAGATGCTTTTCCCCAACAACTGCTCGATCATGCAAATAGGAGTATCCCCTTTTTTACAATGAGGAATCACAATTCGGGGAAAACTGTGTAGTTCAAACCTTTTCACCAAAGTGCTTCTAAGGGGCGGGGTGTCCGAAGTGATTACCCATCGAAGTCCATGTTTTTAAAATTCCTTTTCATTTCAGTACCCGTAGGAATTTTGCTTTCTATATCCTAACACATACCTGGTGTTTCCCCCCAAATCGTGCTGAAACACTGACGCTAAGGGAAGATGAAACTGGGTTTTATCCACTGGCTTTGAGAACCTCTGGCACACAGCTAATGGGCCCTGAGGGCTCAGTTGTGAGGCCAAAGGACACTGACTTCGACTTAAGGATGAGGATGCCCCTTCCGGCACCTGCATGCCTCCTGCACGCCCAGACACCGAGTATACTGGCGGGCGAGGCCACGCCTCTTCCGGCCATAGCCCCGCTCCTTCCGCCGGAAGTCCCGCCTTCTGGCGCGATGCCCGCCGGGCGCTAGGGCGCGTACCACGGAGCGTCCCTGCGAAGGTGATGGGTCGGGTGTCACCGGATTGGCGCCGGCCTGTCTGAGGGCTTCTCAGCTTAAGCTCTTTTCTCCCGGGGCTCCCGGGTGGCCTTTCGGGGACTTTCACACGCTCCCCGGCCGCCGACTCTGCGGTCGCCCCCTCCAGATCCGGCAAGTGGCGCGGCCCGGGCGGGGCCTGAGGCGGCGGAGGGACGCGGAGCTGGTGAGGGGCGCTACTGGGGAGGGGTGGCGGACCCGGCGGAGTCAGGAAGAGGGGCTGGGGGCCCTGGAGCATCCTGGGGCCAGCCGGACCGCGGCCGCCGCCTCGTGCTCCCTCCGGGCCCTTCGGGAGGCCGGTGCCCGGCGCGGCAGCGGGGTCCGCAGGGAGGGCTCCCTTCTCAGGGACCTAGCCTCACCGGGGACGGACAGACAGACCCACTTCCGGCTGCGACCGAGCCACTGACAGCCCCCAGCTCCCGAGAGAACCCTCCCTGACCGCATGACCTCCGGGCTCCCCGTCCCCTCCCAGGCGGGACACACAGGTGCACACCCCGGCCCGGGAGAGACGGACCCGGGACGGAGCGCCTTCCTCTCTGCACACTGCTAGCTGCGGGGGTGTCGGTTACAGACTCGCTGACCCCGGGAGAGACGCTCTTCCCCTGTCCGCGCGGCTAGCGCCAGGAGGCACGCACCCCAGACTGGCCCACGGGCAGTTTGGGTGAGCATCCAGCCGTTCCCCTCCCACCAGAGTCCAGGGGTGGCAGGCTCAGCACCCGAGACCTCGTGGTTTACACCAGACTCCTTTCCAGCCAGGGCGGCCAGAACTCAGGGCCCCTGCCTGCTCTGGAACACCTCCCAGTACCACCCTGGCAGCTCCCTCGGAGGATTGTGGTCCTGCAGCGCCTGGCCTGCTGTGAAAGTTCTGGGGCCTGAGCGGACACCGCGGCTGCCTGTGATTAGGGTGGGCGGGACCTGGCCCTGACCTTTTCTTTGCAGGAATCTCCAGCCTTATCATGGACCCAGAGTGCTCCCAACTCCTCCCGGCTCTCTGTTCCGTTCTGGCAGACCCCAGGCAGCCTGTGGCAGATGACACCTGTTTGGAGAAGCTGCTGGACTGGTTTAAAACCATCACTGAAGCCGGTAAGGTGGAGGGTGCTGCTGTTGTCTTTTTGCCTAGAGGCCAGATGGTGCATGGGACTCCCCTGTCCAGGTGAAGGGGTGTCCATCTGGCTCCCTTCCTTCACATCCTGGAGATTCCACCTGGCTGGTTGGGAATACGTCCAGTTGAAGCCTGAGTGAATGAGCAGGAGAACTTGATCTTGACGTTGTTAGGCTGCTTCCAGCCCTGATTCAGGCCTCCTCTTGTCCATTTCACGCTAGAGGGCTGCAGAGGGCATAGACAAACTTACTTTGTTGTCATTGCACTTACTTGTTTGAAGAAATCTTTTCTTATTATGAAATTAATACATATGCTTTAAACCTGGAGCAATACAAAGCCGTCAGGAGGAAAATTAAACCACCGGCAACTTGGTTAATTTCCTTCCAGCCTTTTTTCCTGACGTCATACAGCTGTATTTTTCTTTTCTCTTTTTTTAATTTTTTAATGTTTATTTTTGAGAGAGAGCAAGCGGGAGAGGGGCAGAGAGAGGGAGACACAGAGTCAGAAGCAGGTGCCAGGCTCTGAGCTGTCAGCACAGAGCCTG